CAAGGCAAGCCCGGCGCAAAGTCCAGAGTGGCCGGCGCTTTCCGGCGCGGGGGTGAGTCCGACAGGAGGCTCTCTACGCTGAACGGGCTGGGCTTGGGGAAGCCAGAGGAACCTCGACCCGGGGCGCAGTCCAATGAGGAGGAGGAAGAAGAAGAAGACGAAGAGGAGGAGGAAGAAGAGGAGGAAGAGGAGTCCTTATCCGGAAGCCGGCTCAGCCTCTGTTGCAGGCCGGCGCCGTTTCTTTGGCTCGGGTAAAAGGCTGGGTCGCAGCTGCCTGGGGCCGGTGGCTCGCTGGCCGCGCTGGGGGCGGGCCGTGGGCCCTTCCCCGGGGGCGGCTCCGGGGGCTCTGGGGAGAGGCCGCCGCCGCCGCTATCACTATCGGAGCTGGGCGTACTGTGCAAGGACAGGCTGCTGGGAGAGTGCAGGTGGCGGCTCTGGCTCTTGAGCAGTTTCTTCTCATGCTTGCGTTTCTTCTTCTCCATCTTCTCCAGCTCCTTTCGGGCTATCTCCTCCGGATCCATGGGCTCCCCGCTGCACGTGGTAGGATGAGAGTTGTGAGCCGGCCGCCCCGGCCCTTTCTTCGTGTTCTCCTTCTTTCTCCATTTGGCCCGGCGGTTTTGGAACCAGACCTAAAAAAGCCGGATAAGGGAAAAGCAAGGGAGAGTCAGACTGGGGGCCGGGGCCGGGGCGCTGAGGGGGAGGGAGTGGAGACCAGAGGACACAGGGCATACGGGGGCCCTGCTGTTGCTTCCCTACCCGGGTTGGGGAATGGGGATGGGTGGGGGAAAGGTGTTCTGAATGGCCTCACGTTTAAAAAAAAAAAAAGTGAGTCTAGGCAGGCTAGGTGAAAGGGGAAAACGGAAAAGAAACTACTCCTGGTTTTCCCTGATATGGGATTTCGCATATACACTCGGCTAGGCCGCAGATTCAAGCATCCTTTTGACCCGAGAAGAAGCGTTTTTAGGGGTACATGGTTGCTGCTCTCCCAATACAGTCTGCTTCCCCAGCTTACTCCTCAATGCTGTGCTATCTTTAGATGTTAGAGCTCAGTTTTCAAGTACCAAAGTTAACTGGATGGTATGTTCGGCTGGAGAAATAGTGGAAAGAATGGGCAACTCTTGCCCCTTCTCTCTCTCTCTCTCTCTCTCTCTCTCTCTCTCTCTCTCTCTCTCTCTCTCTCTCTCTCTCTCTCACACACACACACACACACACACACACACACACACACACACACACACGCACACACGCACACACGCACACATGCACACATGCACACAATATTTGAGAATCTAAAAACCCAGTCTTAGGGCTGCCAGACTCTAGTCTTCCTTTCAGTCAAGAAAGGACCCCACAACTTTGTGCTCTGAACTTACCCAGTCCCACAACCTGCCTCTTTCTCCATGCTCCCTGAAAGAATTTAAGCTCATAGTGTTTTGATTTGGTGAATGGCGACTGATTTCTAAACCCATTCACCACTCCTGCCAGGAAGAAATACAAAAAATGCGTCCAGCCCCCAGCTGGGTTTTCCCCACCCTTACCTCTACCGCTGATCATGGAGGAACCCTATGAAGGCCACAGTAGTACCTCTCTTTACACAATATGTCGTTCCTCTACTTATTTGGACCCCGAGGGCTGGGGGTCCTGCCAGTATAAGGAGCCAAACAATCTGAACTTTTGACCCCAAAGTATTGAGAGTGGAGGGGAAGAAATTCCAGGGACAGACTATATATACATATATATATATATATATGTGTGTGTGTGTATATATGTGTGTATGTATGTATATATGTGTGTGTGTGTATGTATATATATGTGTGTGTATTATATATGTGTGTGTGTATGTATATATGTGTGTGTATTATATATATATTTAGATACATGTGTATATATATACATACACACATATACACACATACATTTTTGTGTATATAGTCGAGTTGTCTTTTTTTCCTCTTTCTCCCTCATCCCTTCCTGAGTTACTTCCCTGTGGGTGATTTGCCAAGGTTTTCTTTTGATTCTCACTTTGCTCAGTGCCACTCGTAACCATCCGTCAATACAGAAACTCACACGGGAAAACACAAACACACAACAATCCATTTCCTCCCACACACGTACACAGGTACATGTTCCTTATCTCTTAAACAGTCACCACCACCACCATACACACCCGCCCCCGTGCCTTTAAGAAAGAGAAGGATGATTAGAAACCAAAATTCAAAAAAAAAAAAATTTGGACGCTGTATCATAGTTATGTCTAACACTACGAGAGAAAAGTGTGTGTACCTAGAAAAAGATGGAGATGTGTTTGTTTAGACTCTCCCAGCCTTGTCAGTGAGGGTAGCTCCTTTCTTTGTGCACACTGCAGACCGCCTTGTCACTGAGAATTACTCATTATCATATTAGAGGGAAATGAAGGGGTCTCGACTTCACTTAACAATCTCAGAACAAATTGGATAAAAGGATTTCAAAACAGAAGAGGTCACGAGGGGAGGAAAAAGCATTCGGTAAATACACCTTTTAAACAATGCTAATGGGCGAATTCGCTGCGGCGCAATAGCCTCGCCCTGCCTCATTCTAAATGTCCCAGAGTTTCACGAAAATAACAAGCCTTCAATTGCAACGAAACCAACCTCCCCACCCCATTAAAAACCTCTATATTCCACACTCCGCGAAAACACTAATTAAGCGATTTTATTTTGAATTTTTAATGCACCAGATTAACGCTGTATTTTGAAAAGTGAAAGCTGCCCCATAGTTTCCGTACCAATCAAAGAGATGCAAATAATTTAAAAAAAAATTGGGCGTTAGATATACTCTGTTCCTTCCAATTCTCGGATGTGTTAACTATTTAAGTTTCCGGCTCCCTTTCTTCTGCTCTCCCCCCTCTGAAAAGCGATGAATAAATACATGTTTTCTATCTGAATATTTTAGAGCCAAATAAACAAACAAACGGGTTTATTCAAAGCAAGGGAGAGGAGCAGCTGTTCGGTGGAAAAGGGGGGAAACAGGCGCAGCTTGGAAGTCGTTTGTGTCTGGACTTCATGCCTAGTTCCCCTTCACCTCTACTCTTTGGCTGTTTTCTCAGCCACCCTTCTTCTTTTTCAACATCGCCTCCCATGTATTCCCCGTCATGTATCCCGTTCTTTAATGGTTCAACGCTCCTTGTTTTGATGGGTTTATTTCACCCATACACTCCCCCCAGCATACACTCATCCCCAGTATTCAAAGCGGCTGGTTTCTGGGCAGAACTGGTTAAAACATATTCTGCTCTTTTAGGGCCTATTCTGCCACCCCCACCCCCACCCCTTTGCATCAATACGTCCCCCCCCCCATGGTGTTAAATCTCTACACACATCCTGCTTCCAAGACGCGCTGAGGACTGGCACAGGGATTTCTCCCCACTACAGTCTGTCCTCACAAACACACAGTCACCCCACCCTACCCCACCCCCGCCATGCTACCCTTGGCGGCGCAGGAAAGTAAGGTGACCGCTGACCAGACCCAGAGAGGACTCGATACCGGAGTCATAGAACAAAGAGGGAGGGGGTCGTGTAGGGAAGAGGGTAGGCAAACGAGGAGGGGGAAGCAGTCTGAAAGCCACTCTCTGAAGAAGCTCTGCCTGGGAATCGGGAACGCCTAGGTCTTAGGAGGGAGAGTGGGGGTGGGGTATGTGTGCTGGGACTGTTACCTGCACTCGGGACTCCACCAGGTCCAAGCGTAGAGCTAGCGCTTCCCGCATGAAGACGTCTGGGTAGTGGCTTTCGTTAAAGGCCTTCTCCAGCTCTTCTAGCTGCCAGCCCGTGAAGTTGGTGCGGGTTCTTCTCCGCTTACAGCCTGGACTTTCCTTATCCGGGTCTCCGGAGTCTGTAGGGGTACACAGTAGAGGCATGGCGAGGTCAGACCTCTGGCTAGCGTTCCTCTGCTCCCCCCAAAGGGTCTCGCTCTTTATCTTCATCCCTGCCCCCGTTTTACTTACTCCCTTCAGGGAGCAGACTTCAGGGGATCCCCTGCCCCAGCTCATAGTACAACTTCAACGGAGTACTCAAAGTGTCTGCCTTTACCCTACTGTAGAGGTGATAGAAATTCCGACCACTCACCATCCAGTGCTGAGCTTACCCAAGAAAGGCTGCCTTGGGATAGAAAGCCTGCTAGGTAGGGAGTTTTATTTTTGTATGGGGTGAGGGAGTCGGGTCGAAGAAACCACTGATTTCCTGGAGCTATTTTTTCACCTATAACCCGGCATATTAACTGCAGTCCCAGTACTGACCCCAACTTTCTAAACCGTGGGGTCGGTGTTCGCTGGCAGAGAAGGTGTACCTGGGTACCCTCCCACTCCTCCAAGGGGGAGGAAGGGCAACTTCTTTAAAAGGGTCCGCATTCGAAGGATACTGAACCTCGTCCCCGGACGGCGCCCCCCACTGTCCGCCCCATAGCTAACCCTCCTCTAACCACTTCGCCAGCCTACCTGACAGCTTGAAGGTCTGACTGTCCCCGCTCACCCCGCAGCCCGAAGGCAGCAGTGGGGTGGGATTGACTACTGAGGCAGCGCAAGAACCGTTCAGTAATCCATCTATGGAGAAGGGGACCGAGGCGGCGGCGGCAGCCGCCGCGGCCGCGGATTGCAGCTGGTGCCCCGCCAGTTCGTAGACGTGGTGGTGGCCTAGGGGGTAGGGAAAGCCCACCATGCCGCCCAATGAGCCCCCGAACTGGGCATGGGGGTGATCCAGGATGCGGCTGTCCATCATCTCCGGGGTGGCAGGGCGCAGCTGGAGCTGAGGAGGAGGAGGCGCAGGCGGCGGCGGCGGAGGAGGAGATAGGGACCTGCAGCCCAGTACATGCTTCGCCCGGACTCCAGCGCTTTACTTTATCAACATCAAGCTCCCGATAATTAGCACCGGCCGGGGGAATTTGGGACCAATAAGAAGCGCTAATCGGGTCTGACGTCAGAGGCGTGCAGGGTGCAAGGAAACGTTTTCCATATCGATTGCTAATTATACCTGACATGCACCTCAATAAACAGTATCAGGAACTGTCACAACAAGACGGGGTGGAGGGGGTGTTGGTGGGGGGAGGAAGGAGCGGGGATACAAGAAGGGAGTCGACCTGGGGGAGAGAGAGGGCTTGGGGGGCGGGGGAGGAGACAGAAAGACGGGGAGGGGTGCAAAGAAGAAGAGAGGCTAAGGGGAACTTTGAGACTGGATTGGAGCCCCCCAGTTAAATACCCAACAACCGGAGTCACACTCAGCACCCTCCCTTCCTTTCCCCTCCCACTCCTTTCCCCTTCCCTCCCCCTGGACTCCCCTCCCCTCTTCAAATCACTAATAGATTTCCCTTTAAAACATTCACCGGCGTGTTGTGGGGATTTTTTTTTTCACCAGAAATGCTGTACTCTCTGAACCTTTAAAGTGATGTTGCTCCAATTACAGAGAGACATTGAGCGGCAAATAGACTGATCCAATAATAGGAGATTCATCATCCTCTCTTTCCGAAGCTGTCACATTGAATTTAAAACTACAAGGGCTTTTCATCTCCTCTCCGGCTCTATACAGCAGGGGAAAAGAAGGGGGGGGGGGGATAAAGAAAAACCCTTTACTGTATTTAAAGGTGATCTTACCCTATCAATAAAAATTCTAATTAATGCCATCCAATATTGATCGATGGGCACAACAATCTGAAATTATTTTGCTACTGGAGGCGGTGGCTAATGAAGCTTAGTCAATCGCCTCCCCCAAATGTAGACAACCTAGGGAGGGGTTTGAGAAAACGTGGAGAAAGTGGTAACTTTAGGATTACTTTCCCAATCTTCTCTCCCTCCCCCACACACACTACCACCAACCCCAGTGGGAAAAAGAAAGAAAGAAAGAAATCTTAGTTTGCTTCCTCCAGTGATGGATAGGGCAAAATAGCCAACTCATTTGTTATAATTAAATTATGCTCTTGGAGAAGTGTCACTCCCTTAGACACTATAAAATATTGATAGAATCAAAGTTAAATCATTAAAGGACATATTCTTAAATAAGTAACAAATTAGGCCTGTGGGTGGATGAGAAAAAATAACTTTTAAAAAATTTTCATAGTGATTTGGTCCTATCATAGCTTCTTCAGCCAAAACATCCTTTAAAACCCCCGTTTTGTGTTTGCTTCTGATGAGATGTGTGAATGAAGAGAATGAAGACACTGAACGTTTCTCTTACAATCCCTTACTTTTAATCTGGTTTCAGTGACTCAGGGAAGGGAGAGGGAGAAGAAGTAAGAGGAAAAGGAGGAGGAGGAGGAGGAGGAGGAGGAGGAGGAGGGGAAAGAAGAGGAGGAGGAGGGGGAGGAGGAGGAGAAGAAGAAGGAGGAGAAGAAGATGAAGAAGAAAAGGAGGAGAGGAGGAGGAGAGGAAAAGGAGAAGAAAAGGAGAGGAAAAGGAGGAGGAGAGGAGGAGGAAGAGAAGAAAGGAAGGAAGAGGAGGAAAAAGGTGAAGAAAAGAGGAAAGAAAAGAAGGGGAAAGGGAAGAAAAGGAGGAGGGAGGGAGAGGGAGAAAGGCAGAAGAGAGAGAATTAAAGAGAGGAGAAAAGAAAGGAGGAAATAGAGAGGGGTCAAAGACTGAAAGAAAAAAAAGAAGAGGCAAAGCAGAGAGAGGAAGCGGGAGCTTCCCGCTCTCACTCCCCCATCCCTACATCCAGTCTCCCAGGGAGCAAAACAGCCGCCACAGCACTACCAATTGGTTCTGTATATGATGAGTGATCAGTACATATCTCTGCGTGTTCCAGGCTGTTGGAATGTATCTCTTCATAATGGGAATGGCTTACACGAAATTTGGCTTCCCCTTTAAGTGACTTCAAGTTCTGAAGAGAGGCCACGCAAACGGTAAAGGTGAAAGGCAGAAAGGGGGAATAAGAGTGAGGGATGGGCGGGAAGACAAGAAAGAAAAAGAAACAAATCCAGCAAGACAGGAAAGAAGATAAAGGGAAGGAAAAAAAACCTTAGAAACCTTTAAGGGAGGTGTATTATTGGAGCGTGTATGTTGGGGAATGGGGGAGGGGGCGTAATCCCTTGGAATCAGGAAGGGAGGAACGAGACCACTTTATCTCTGCCAAACACACCAATAGCTTTTCCAGTGGCCAGTTCCAGCACCCTTCTCTCTTCGAAGACCCCCAACAGGATACTTTCTATTTAAAAAACGCTACCACAAAATCAGCAGCTACGATGGAAAGCAGAGGAGAGAGCCTCTGATTGGGGTGGTCTGTCTGGCCCAGAATACATCCACCTAATTGAATATCACATAATATGCCATTGCCCAATATAGATTACAGTTTAATTATTCTCTCTCTCCCTTGAAGGAGTGGAGGGAGAGGTGAAAGTAATGAGGAGGGAGGGAAGAGAAATCTCTTTAAAAATGAAAAAGAATCTAGATTTTTTTTTTGTTACTCCCAACCCTCTCCAGGAGCAATAAGAAAATGATGGTGGTATTAATTCTGAGGTCAGGGGCCAAGAGCTCTACTTTTCGCCATAATTTAATTTCTTTCTCTATAAATACTAAATGTAAACTGTGTCCATCCGACCAGATTTTGCCTGTAGCTATAAACGCCTCATTTTCTGTTGGGTTTCAGAAGAGGAATGCAAAGGAAGCGTGATTCTGAATACAGAATGGTAATCAATCCGGCCGAGAGGTGGAGAGGGGGGAGGGGAGGAGAGGGAGCCCAGACTCCCTCTCCCGTTCTCTCTTTATTATAATGAATTAATTCGACTTTATTTATCCCATTTTCTGGAGCTGACAGAATGTTAATTTGAGTTGAAATTTCGCTCGCCTCTCACTCCCTGACCCCTGGCCCTCAGATTGGCGTGTTGTAATAACCTGAATCTTTCAACAGAGGCCCTGATAATTGTTACCTTATTAGCATGCAAATTGTTTAATTAATATTATTATGAAGAAGCATACAATCCGTCCGTCACTTGACCTCAAGAGCAAGTCCACGCCGCAGCCGGCTCCCTGCATTTCAATGCTCCTATTTCAATCGCCTTGTGTTTTTAATGTTGCCGGGGCTCTCGTGGAGCTCCTAAAAATCTCTTAGAGGGTTTGAGAGGAGTCTTTAATGAAGGTGGGGGGTGGCACGGGGGAGGAGGGGACTTCTGGAGTCTCTCGGCCTTGATATTTCTTTATAGGGTTCTCTCTCTCTCCATCTCACAGACACATGAGAGAAGCTGGGTTTTTTTTCTTCATCTCCCCCCCCTCCACCCCCAACCTTATTTTGAACATCAAAATTTCATAATTGCTTCCTTGTCAATTGCTTCTCCTAGAGCGGCTGCTTTAAAGCCCCCCCCCCTTCAGCCACCCCCCCCCTTTCTCCTCCCCTTCAATAGCGAGCCCTGTTCCTCCAAACAACTCGATGGGAAGCAGCCCTTGACACGCAGTCCTGGGAGACGCTGCATTTAAATCCCTTTTTCTACAGCCGAGTGACATTGTCAGATGCTAGCTTTAATTAACTTGATAATAAGATGTACACGACTACTCGCATTCAGGACGCCCGCGCGCCTAGCCTTGTTCTTCAGCAACTCCCCCCTTCCCTACCCGCCCCCCTTCTTTGCGTCCCCCCCGCCCCGGACATTTTACTTTTTATCGCAATCTGGTTTTTTGGGTTGTTTTTTTTGTTATTGTTTTTAAATAGTTCTGTTTCCTCCTCCAGGTCTGTCACGACCCTGGATCCGCAGTACAGGAACTGAGTTAGGAACCCAAAGAGTCAGGCAGGCTGGGGAAAGGAGAAGTAGGAAGGCGATGGAGAGCAGGAGAGCAAAGGGAGGTGAGGGTGGAAGAAGGAAAAAGCTAAAGGGGAAAATGAACGTCCCCAGCATGAGAAAAGCCATTCTGGAGAGAGTTGGTGCAGTACTCAAGTAGAATGTCCCGCCCCTAGGTTCCCAGCCACCTACCCCAATTCTTGTCTTGGGGTCACCAGATCCCAGAAACCCACCCCATCTCTTGTCTTGGGGTCTCCTCTTACTTCCAAGAATCCCCTCCTAGTCGGAGTTGTGAAAGAAGTTGCCCGAGGCTTTGTGAAAGCCTCGGCCGAGAACCAACCAACCTCACTCTGAAAAAAGGTTGCCTAGCTCCTAACTAGGGACCAGTCTCTCACTCTCAAAAGCAATGTCTGCCCCCTAGCTAGGATGAGTTTCTGGAAAGAGTTGGAGCAGAGCAGCACAGATCTGGGAACAAACCAGGATGGAGAAGGGGGCAATACGGTGCCGAGACTCCGTTTCTGGATCTGGCCAGCTCCTTGCCTCCAGGAGGCAGCTCCTTTCTCCTCATAGGTCAGACCATTGAAAGCGACTCTCATCCCAGCTGCTGCCCGGGCTTTACTTGGCTCCCAGCGCAGCCTGGCTAGGCCAGAACCTCAAGTGCCCTCGGATTCTGGGGGACTCTACGAAGTGGGTTTCTTTCTCTCCCTAGATGAGAAGATAATTGCTCGCAAGGTTTTCAACTCAACTTGCGTTTTACCCTATCCCGGACACAATCCTTCTCCCAGCGTTCTTCTCCCCTTCCTTAAGTCTCACTTTCTCTTTTTCACTCTAAGCTACTGCTAGCTTTCACTGGTACCTACTGTCCTTAGCTGGCTCTGAGTGGGAGGGAGGGGCAAGGACAGGGCTAGCACAGCTTGGGAGCTTTGCCTACAGGGCAAGGGGTAGGCCAAATCCTGGTCCAGGATCTCTTTCCCCTCCCCCTTCCCAAGCACATCAGTCCTCGGTCACCAGTCCCTAAGTGAGAAGCTCTCAGGCCTCCGCCCTTTCTCTCCCCTAGACTGCCACTTTGCATTAGCTCCGGGGTCTCAGAGAAGAAGGGAGAAGTGGTGGGGAATAAAGGGGAGGGGGGAGTTATTCTTTTCCAGAAGGAACCCAGTTGGCAGGCAGAGAGCCCCAAACAGACCGCGATCAAAGTTGTGTGTGCGCGTGTGCTTTATTTAAAACAATCCAAGGAAGTGAATGGACCATGGGGATTATGTTGGAGCTGCTCTCTGAGGTC